GGTGGCGGCCCTGCGGCTGCCAGTTTGGGGCAAAAAGAGGCGGTTTAGGGTTTTTTGGCGATTGGGGGGGGAGGGGGTAGCAAATGGGGAGTTTGGGGTTAAAAAAAGAGGAGTTTGGGGGTTAAAAAGTAAATTTGGGGGGAAATGGGTGCTTGGGGTTAAAAAAGTCAGAATTTAAAACGATAAAATGGGGTGAAAAATGGGAATTTGGGGCTAAAGCAGGAGTTTTGGAGTTTAAAAAAAGAAATGTGGGGTTAAAAAGAGGAGTTTTGGGGTTGGAAAGTGAATTTTTTGGGGAAAACCGCGGTTTGGGGTTAAAAAGTGGGAACTTGGGGATAAAAAAGAAAATGGGGTAAAAAATAGGAATTTGGAGCTAAAAGGGGGAGTTTTGGGGTTAAAAAAGAAATTGGGGCTTAAAAAAGGAGTGCTGGGGTTAAAAAGTAGTTTTTTTGGGGAAAAATGATGTTTGGGGTTAAAGTGGGAATTTGGGGATTAAGAAGAAATGGGGTGAAAAATGGGAATTTAGGGCTAAAAAGGGGGAGTTTTGGGTTAAGAAGGAGTCTGGGGTCAAAAATGGGGAGTCTGGGGTAGGAAAGGGGGAATTTGGGGTTAAACGAGAGAAATTGGGGGGAAGGCAGTCTGGGGTTAAAAAAGGGGAGTCTGGGGCAGAAAATGGGGAGTTTGGGGCTAAAAAAGTGAAATTTGGAGTGCAAAAGGGGGAGTTCGGTGATAAAATAGAGAATTTTAGGGGGGAAGGGGGACTTGGGTTAAAAAAGGGGAGTTTGGGGCAGAAAACGGAGAAATTGGGGGAAAGGGCAAGTTTGGGGTGAAAAAGGTGAGTTTTGGGGTTAAAAAAGAGAAATTGGGGGGGAAGGAGAATTTGGGACTGGAAAGGAGCAGTTTGGGGTGGAAAAGGGGAACTCTGGGGTTAAAAAAAGGCAATTTTGGGTTAAAAAGGGGGGATTTGGGCCACAAAAGGGGAATTTGGGGCAGAAAAAAAGAGAAATTGGGGAAAGGGAAAACCTGGGGTGGAAAAGGGGAGTTTTGGGGTTAAAAACCCAGAAATTTAGAGTTAAAACCAGTAATTTGGGGTTAAATAACAGCAATTTAGGGTTAAAAAAGTGTGATTTGGGGTTAAAAAGGACAAATTTGGGGTCAAAAAGATAAATTTGGAGATAAAAAAGAGCAATTTGGGACTGGAAAAGGGGAATTTGGGGCACAAAAAGGAGAATTTGGAGCAGAAAAAATAAATTGGGGAAAGGGTGAGTCTGGGTGGAAAAGGGGAGTTTCTGGGGCTAAAAACAGCAATTTGGGGTTAAGAAAGAGCAATTTGGGGCTGGAAAAAGGGGTTTGAGCCACAAAGGGGGAATTTGGGGCAGAAAAGGGGGAATTTGGGGAAACTGCAAGTCTGGGGTGGGAAAGGGGAATTTTGGGATATTAAAAAAAAAGCAATTTTGGGTTAAAAAAGAGGGTATTTGTGCCATGAAAAGGGGAAATTTTGGGCACAAAAATGAAAAATTGGGAAAAAGACAAATCTGGGGTGGAAAAAGGGACTTTTGGGGTTAAAGAAAGAGAGATTTGGGGTTAAAAAAAGAGACATTTAGAGTTCAAAAACAGCAACTTGGGGTTAAAAAACAGCAACTTGGGGTTGAAACAGAGCAATTTGGGGCTGGGAAGGCGGATTTGGGGCGGGCAGGGGCCGGGGAGGGGGGTGGGGCCGTACCCGGGTGGGGGGCGCGTGGATGAGGGCGCGGTAGG